TTTGGGCTAATTTTTTCTGCTCACTATTTAAATTAACCATACAAAGTGTAGTTAGCAAATTGTTCCGTGCTCCAAAACTAATTGAAATGCATTTTGAAACACGCAGGCTACCCGGATAGCAAATAAACAACCAACACATACACATTCCACCCACACACACTCAAAATGGCCAACGTGGACATCAGCGAGGAGGCATTCCATCTGCGCATCGGCTACATGAAGCCGGATACCATGGAGATCGCTCGTGCCGAGCTGCGGGAAACCGATGAGCTGAGAGCTGAGTCACTTCAGAAACTGCGCGAATTGCTCAAGGCAACGCCAGAGCTCAACTACAAGGACGACGATGCCTTCCTCTTGATCTTCCTGCGTGTCTGCCATTTCTATCCGGAGAGCGCATTAGAAAAGGTGCGTATTCCAATTCTGAAACTATTTAGCAGTTGGATTTCTATACAAATTATAAAAGTGGCTCAGGAAATGATAATGAAATAGAAAAAGATTCTAAGCCTAATTGAAATGGAAACCAATTGGATCTAAGTTTCCAAGTTCCACATAGAATCAGTGACCATTTTAGTGTTCAAATAGAAATTACTTATAATTGTCAAATGGTGTGTTCCATAATGTGTGAATTTAAATGTGAAAATATTTGACAACAAATCCTCTAAGTTTTTGCAATTCACAGAAATTGTATCAATAAGTATCCAAACAGGATCTGCATATGCTATGCAAATGTTATGCGTATGCTCCATATTCTGTTCCCAAGTGATATGTATCATCTCTTCATATGTGTATCAAATTTATATCACATGCGAATTATATGTGTGTAATGTATATTATATATAATTCGCAAGCGAATAACTTGATATACATAGAATTATGATCCACACGCGATACACACATAGTGCACATATAATCCACAGCTGAAATATATACGATTCACGTTTGAAATGCATATGACTCAGCTATGATATGCAAACTTCCCATATCTAATATCAAACAGGCCCACAAATGCCACAGATTTACTAAATTCCTAAATAAATAGATTATAAATATTTTTTTTTACTAATTTCTAATTAAATAAAAATCCCATGAATCCCCCATACTTCAAAACTTCGCCAAACATTAATAAATATCCTATAAAATAATTTTAAAAATTACAAATAAAACTAAATAAAGTACATATATAGAGTAAATATATATGATAGAAAATAGTAAAAATTTCTTATTTTGTATTTCTTCAGCTAAACCTTAGTTTCTAAAATAAATTTATTAATACTTTTTAAAATGTGCAATCAATACAATCTACATATTACACAATCAATCTAGTTCACAAATTGAACTCCAACCCCACCCACATATCAGTTAATGATTAACAACATCCGATTCGCATCAGCAATCGAGCTCAGAACACAACTAAGGATCGCGTTATCAGTGTTGAGCTAGGCTGGGCTGATATACCTTTTGACCCGCCATAAGACAGCTCGGAGTACAAAGCGGGGTCTACAACCTCAGCTCTGTGTAATCTGAGCGAAAATTGAGCTCCTTAGCTGACTCGAAAAAAAAATGAAAAAAGAAAATGAAAATCAAATGAAATTAACTAAGAATTAGAGAATACTCTTTTAGGTGTATCAAGTTTTTATGACTAAAGCCTTATGTAATATATAAATATATGGATGCTGATAAGGATTGTTTAATCACAGATATGGAATATGAACGAAACTCTCAAACTATATGTTTATACACGATTCGAATTATTTATGCACATTTAAAACTATAAAATAAAGCGTGAATTCCTGAGTGGATAGATGAAAAGATGGCTAAATATTTTCTAACATAAAAATTGAATTTTACCTGTGTTTAAATAAATAGTGAATTTACTCCTCAGTTGATAGCTTTACCTATATATCTAAAAGTCGGGAAATTTGTTTAAAGATAAGGATTACATAGCGTTTATTCCCTAAAAATTAAAATAGGTAGATGAACTTATGGTCATGTATCACATCATATCATATATATCATGTGGCTCCTTCTGTTACACATTTCATGAGCAAGTCTTTATGCCCGAGTCCTAGTCAAGGAATTGCTCCACTTGTCGCTATGCAAGCTAAGCTCTTGGAATGTACGTCATCTATGTTGATTCTCGCATTGATACGATTTGAACCCGCTGACATAAGCAGAAAAAAATTAAACACGAGCGATAAGCAGCTAAAAAGTATTCCTATTTTACATACATGCGTATATACATATGTATGTATGTATGTATGTATGTATATATATTTGTGGTCTAGCATACATAATGCATGCGCGGCTGCTGACCATGACGTGGCGCTAGGCTCTACATTCCGTTGTAAACCGCCCGACACCCACGTCTTATCAGAGCCACGGTGTTTATGGCCGTTCAATGGTCAATGCGAAAGACGTTTGCTATCGGGCCAGCTTGATTGATTAGACACCTGTTGTTGTTCTTCTTCTTCTTGCAGATGAAAAACGTTGCTAGCTTCCGCAAGGAGAACAAAGCTCTGGTGCACGGCCTGCAGGTGAAGGATGTGCAGGAGCGCTTCGTCAAGGGCAGCGTCATCAATGTGCTAAAGAACTGCGACCAGAAGGGCCGACGCGTGCTCATCGTCAACTGCGGCAAGCTCTGGGATCCCAATCTGATACCCAGCGATGAGATGTTCCGCATGCTGTACGTGGTGCACATTGCCGCCCAGCTGGAGGAGGAGACACAGGTGCGCGGAGTCGTCTGCATCATGGACTTTGATGGCCTGGCCATGAAGCAGGTGAAGGCGCTGTCGCCCAGCTTCTCCAAGCGTCTGCTCACCTTCATACAGGAGGCCATGCCGCTGCGCATGAAGGAGGTGCACATTGTCAAGCAACCCTTCATCTTCAACATGGTCTGGACGCTCTTCAAGCCCTTCATCAAGGAGAAGCTGAACAAACGCGTAAGTTGAGCAGTCTCCTCTCTCTCTCAATCTCTCTCTCTCTCTCTCTCTCTCTCTCTCTCTCTCTCAATCTCTCTCTCTCTCTCTCTAATCTCTCACCTTTACTAATCTGCCTCTTTCCTTTCAATTTCAGATGCACTTCCATGGCAGCGACATGAAATCTCTGCACAAGTTCCTCGACCCTTCGGTGCTTCCAGCCAACTACAAGGGCACCAAGCCAGCCATCGACTACGGCGGCCTTGACTGGTTCCCCGCCCTCGAGCAGCAGACCGACTACGTCAACACCTGGAGCGAGATGGGACCCGCCCAGTGGTAGAGCTCTATGAGTCCTTGGGCAGCCAGTCCAAACCTTAGTTAATCCTTGTACTTATAAATATGTTCTTGATTAGTTCTTAGCAATTGACAATAAATTAGTTAACATAATGCCAAAACCCCCAAGTCTCAAATGTGTATTAAAATGAGTTGAAATATGGTTCTATAAAATAGGTCTAGTGTTACCTTGTGTAGAGTTAAGGCACATCTGTGTTGACCTTAATCTGATGTTAATTTTTTTGTAGCATGAAATGAGCTAATTTTACAAGCTAGTCGAAACCCTTTTAAAAGAATATTTAGATCCGGAATGTAGGTAATAATTTTTACACAAGTTGAAATCATTTATGAAACAATATATCAACAATTCCTAATACAGCTAGATTAGAGAAATGTATCTGAAATTTATTAGAGCTCATTATTTTTTCATAGCTAAGAATGCACATTTTAAATGAATGATTTACGAACATAGTTTATTTTGATTCATAGATCCAATCAGAAGCAATATCTTTTTGTGCTTGCAGCAATGTTTGCATGTCTTAAAAAATATAAAAAATAAAATAGATAAGATAGGTTCATGGTGGTTCAAAGCTATTCAAGTTTTCATATCTAGACGATGTCTTCAAGGCTTAGGAGCAGGCGTGGGAGACTACCACAGGTAGTCCCCATAACGTATATTTACTCCTGATCAGGTCAAGCTGAGCCGATTTAGCTCCATCTGTCTGCGTGTCTGTAAGTTCCCCTGATATAGCCCAAGGAGCGCAGTCTGCATCAGCGCAGCTAGCAGAGCGCGTGCTTATGTATGTGTGTGTTAATGTGTGGTTTCTTGTGCATGCAGGAAAGAAGTCTAGACTTATTGGAATATCAGTTCTTCAAAGAGTTAACCCTTGACTAGAGCACTCTTACTTGTTTTGTGTTAAGTAAATTTAGCAGTCGTTCAGATAGATAGATAGATAGATAGCATTAAAAAGTAAATACGTAGTGTACCCCAACATTGAATAGACTAGTATTTGCCATAGATAAAGCTAGACCTAGCCCTACCCCTAGCTAGTTGCATGAAGTCGTAAAGTTATTTAAAACCTACATTTCCATAATTTTTAAATATTCAAACTTCAATTTGACTGAGAAATATTATAAGCTAAATTTAGTTTATGATTCCAAAATTTCAAAGATATTAAGTGTCAAAGAAAATGGCCATAAATATGGTTAGAAATGATGAATGTATGCTTATATATATATATGCATTTATGTATAAATGTATTTGTATATGTATATATATATGTGTATATGTGTGTTTGCTTATAGTTTTTGTGACACTCCGTAATGTATGGGCCTATGTCAGCAACTTTAACTGCATCATGAATCAAGTTCATGACTTTGTCGACTTTAAAACTGTTCAGATGAGTAAACATAAAGCAAATATACAAATATATTAGTATGAAAAAGAAAGAGCAGAAATTGCTTAAGAGAGAAGTACAAAATGTTTAAGGCAAATTATTAACTAGAGATAAGAAAACAATATAATATATGTTGTATGTTATATGTTATATAGATTACAATTATAAAATATTGAAATAATATATATAGAGCGCGAAAGAAAACAGTTGAAGGAGCATAGAGCACAGCCTTTAAAGACAAAGCATTTTACAGACCATTTCCCATGGCCAAAGAGCGAAAATAAAGCACGTATAGAATATAATCGTTCGATTCAAATTGAAGCGCCTTGTTGGTATTTCAGAATAGCAGTCTAAATACATGTGCTTTGTTTATTTAACAGTTTTGGATTTATCAATGTTGTTTAATGATTAACAAAAGATGAAAATTATTATAAAATTAGACCTGTGGGTATGTCTGTTTTAACCGAAATTTTCAATGTTTTCAGCGTAGAAGTGTATGTGTGTAAGTGTTTGTGTATATTGTAGATTGAGTAAAATCATGTACAGAATATTATTTAGTTAACACTATGTCGATATTACACATGGCCAAACTATTTATGTATATATATTCTAAAAGCGCTAAGACTTGAGTGGGTACCAATTTGAGGCCAAACACGCACAGCGCAGGTCGTGGGCAGCAAACCAATTGAAATTTGTACAATACATCAAATATTGTATATTTGTATCTAATATGAAACACAGTGAACAACAGAACTATTCCTCACACTCTGTGGGGTAGGATTACATCGTAAGCTGTTGCGTCTTTTACACTATCATTGCAGCCGGATCCTCCACGAAATCTCTGAAATGTTTGAGCCAAACGGCGGCTACAGCGCCATCGACCACTCTGTGATCGGCGCTCAGCGTGACGGTTAGCATGTTCACCTCCTTGAAACTGGAAACAAGATGGAACAAGATTAGCAACTCATCCATAATCAAATTTATTTCAAAAAACGTACCCCTTGTTGCTGTCCGGATCCAACACAAGCTGTTTCGTTGTTGTGCCAATGGCTAAGATGCAGGATTGAGGAGGGTTGATGACGGCACAGAATTGATTAACACCTGCAAATTACAAATTCATTATAATATATCGTCTTTAGTATTTTATTTAATTCACATGCTTACCAAACATGCCCAAATTGGACACGGAGATGGTGCCGCCCTGGAATTCATGCGGCTGCAGCTTGTTGTCGCGTGCCTTGCCTGCCAGTTCCTTGACATTCTTCGAGATTTCTAGCACTCCCTTGCGGTCAGCGCCAAAGATGATGGGCGTGATGAGTCCCTTATCGGTCGACACTGCGACAGAAACATCCACATCTTCGTATTGCCGGATGAACGTGTCCATCCAAGCGGAGTTCGCTTCAGGCACCTTGCGACAGGCAGTCGCCACGGCCTTGATTATCAAATCGTTGACGGAGACGCGTGCGCCCTCCTTCTCGTACTTCTTATTTATGTGTGCGCGGAACTTCATCAACTACAAATGTGATAAATAATATTTATAAGGGTTTCTTCTAGGAATATATCTCAATGAGAAACAGAAAGGAATAGGCCTAGTGAAGCCTTAGTGCCACAGCAAAAATCTAAGAATTTTACTCAAAATTAAATAATAGACGATCATATCCAAAGAAAGCATACTGTGGCGCCATAATAATTGAACTAACAAATATAATTAACAAATTTAATTTAATTAGCTAAAAGGCAGTTGAGTTTATAAATGTAATAAATAAAGACAATTCAGGTTTACTTCAAACTGAATTGAAAGACAAAAGTTTTAAATGAAACTTTTAAGAAAGGAACTTATTAAAAATCAGGTTTAACACAGGTTCAATTTTGAAATCAACTTTTAAAATTAAGTTTATAAATTGCTAAGCAAACTTTTAAGCTAAAATCTCTATTTTTATAAAAATCGGGAACGGTATTCAAAATTCGAAAAATCTCACGAGCATTTAAGAAAAAAATACTGTCTAACTAATATAAATAAATGTATATATAAATAAACTATCAGAAATATACAATCAATATCTAACATTAGTTGTTTCATTTCCTCCTTCAATCTAGACTAGCATACATAACTGAGCTATAGAAAGTATTGAAATAACTTAATATCAATAGCTAAAATAAAATGAGTCCCTACACACATGTCCTTATCCACATCTATGTATATGCTACCGTTAGTATTTCGCTCACCTTGTCCACCTGGCAATGAACGGTTACGTAGTAGTGAGGCAGATTCTGCTTGGACTCTAGCAGTCGCTTGGCAATGACTGAGCGCATCGTCGTCAATGGGATGTCCTTGAAACGCGCATCGGACTTGGGGGCTGGTTTGGGTGCGGGCTTTGGTGGCGGTGCGGCTGCAAGATCACCAGATTTAAGTGAGCCATGGACGCCGGTACCTTTGCCTGTACAAAAGGCCAGGATTAGTAACGGAACAGAACAGCACGAGCAGAGATTTGGATTGGGTTAGTGGAGCATGAGGCAAGCATGCACACAGTGGGCAAATTGGGTTCATTGTGTACAACCTTGCAGACGGAGCTGTTTTGTTTCCGCTAACTTCTTGGCCATGGGGCTGGCGTAGACACGACCGCCGCTTGGTGCTGCAGCCGGCGCGGGGGCTGCTGCTGGCGCGGCTGCTGGTGGTGGTGATGGTGCGGCAGCTGGGGCTGGGGCTGGGGCTGGTGCTGCTGGAGCTGGAGCTGCTGCTGGTGGTGGTGGTGGTGGTGGTGGGGGTGCTGGTGCGGCAGCTGCGGGCGCAGCGGGGCCACCACTGTCAACGAAATCCTTGAAAGCAGCAATGCTGCCCTCATCGGGAACAATGATGCACACCAGCTTGCCAACTGGCACATCCTTTGTCCCACCAGGCACCACAATCTTGGCCAGATAGCCCTCCTCGGGCGTCTCGAAACCCATGGTAGCTTTATCTGTTTCAATTTCGCACAGCAGATCACCTGGATGAATGTAAAAATAAATAAATAAATATAAATCATACCATCAATACTATATCACTCATAATGGTAAACTGTTCGACATACCCTCGTTCAGCTTGTCGCCTTCTTTCTTTTCCCAGCCCACTATCGAGCCACGGTCCATGGTTGGTGACAGTGCTGGCAGCGGCACGCGTATATGATCCGGCAGATCGGCGTAGGCGCGGGCAAAGTTGTAGCTCCATGTCGGCAGTAGATGGCTTCGACTGAGGATCGGTTTTCTATGCAGTGACGACCTATGGCGAGGACAGATTCGGGTTAATTCGCTTGAATCGATTGACAGCTGGCAGTCAGCTGATTGTTGTTATCGATAACACACAGGCACACGAAATGTAAACAATTGCTTGCTGTTGGCAAATGCCAATCAGAAATGTTGTTTGAGCATTTACGGTAAGTGCTTATCAGTGGCGATTAGCTTGGGTCATCATCATGCGGCGCTCATTTGAGTGTCACGCACTGGATGCACGCACACATGTGTACAGATGCACGCGCGCGCACACACATACAGAAATTGGCAATTGGCACCCGCCGCCCCTCACAGCCCGCCCACTGGGCTGCATATGCAATATTACACAACAGACTTTCTAACCTCAACCAACAGTTGAGGCAGCCTTTTACCTGATTGGCAGCTGATGGCCAGCAGTGCTCAAGGCCCGGACTCCATAGTTCGAACCATATCGCACCGGTCGAGCTCGGAGTAAGATGAGTCGCAAGGCGCCCAATTCGTTTCGTGTTGCAGCGATAGTGCGTAGCATTGTCCTTATTGGATGTGGGCCGACGTTTTTGATTTTCGCTTCAACTTCAACGCGAAACTACTTATTGGCTACTAACGTATTGAATCGAGCAGTATGCTATAGGTTCTAATAATTTAGAGGAAAGAAACAAGTCGAATTTATAGTCGAAAATTTTTAACGCAAAACCACCAGCCGACCTTATTCAACGCCACTAGGTCACAACTTGCTAAGACGACTCTGTTTTGGATTTTGTACGCAGCCCTGCTGTCTGATTAACATTGATTGTTTACTCTTATCAGAAATGCGCTGCCCATTTTACAGAAATCTGTTAAGGAATTCCTAACAAATGTCTATGACTCCACACTAAACATATTTGCTCCTCATGAGTGCAGTCGATATCGATGAACAAATTGACAAGACGCAGTTGTTGTATTCGTCTATATTATATACATCTATATAATATATAGATTTTGAAGTTCCTAAGACACTAGCAACTATTCTCTTATTTAATTTTGATCACCATAAATCTTATTTAACAATTGAAAAAACACATGAATGTGCATCTGTTTATCGATGTCTGAAATTACAGTGGAAAAGATGCTTTTTAATAAGCGTACTTAACAGAACCATTTTCCAGTTAACAGTTGTTTATACTATTTGTTGCATTTTCATTTTCAAAATGTTTATAACACTTCACTTGAGAATTCGATACCAATTGTATTTATAAAAAAAAACCCGAAGCAATATTTCCATACCGCAGCGCTGCCACCTGTACCACCAGCAAGTAGCAAAAACATATGATAGAAGGAAAACAAGTTGCAAGTTCTGTTTTAAGTATTTATTGCAAAAGTTACATTTTTAGACATAATATTCTAGGGGTTCCACGGGCCGAAACAGCAACTGCAAATCACCGCATATTGAGTGTACTTCAACATGTGCCGGGTTTCCACTGACACCAGAGCACCTGATGAAGTACAATAGACATGGGGGAGACACAAGTAGATTGCCATCTGGCGTAGAATGCTAGAATTGCTAGCAGAGCGTTGAATGCGTCTAGCCACCACGCGCGCTACTTCAGGTACCTGACTGTGAGATAATCGAAACCAGCCCCGGTCACTGATTAGCGCGCACGGTAAAAGACGGACGGGCGCAGCGGACCAAGATAAGCCCAGCCAACAGATGTTGCCAACTGGTTCGGAGTAACTGCTGCCGCTGCTGCTGTTGCTGCTGCTCCTAAAGCCACGCAGGAAACGACCTTGCGCGCTGTGTCCATGTCGAGCTTTAAGGTTAACGATCTCTCTGTACGTGTGGCTGTTCGTGCGACGACGCCGATGACTTCATTCCAAACTCACACGCACATAAACGAGTACATGTATATATGCAGATATATACATATGTACGTATGGCCTATTATGTGTAAGCTTTTTGAGCTGAAGCTTTGTCGCGCCGCAGACATCGCTTTAACCTCGCCATTCTTATGGCAGCCTGTGAGAAATTGCTGCTTGACGCAGATTTATGCAATAACAGTACGAAATTAGTCATATGTTTTTTCTTCATTACACACCTCGTTCTGCCTGACCATACGTTCGCAAGTACACACACATCGATACGTACTTATGGCTACATAGTCCATACTCCATCGAATCGGATGTGACGTCATCGGAGGCAAAATGCGAAAGTAAAATTTTTTTCGCTTGCAGCAACAGTTAGTCGCTGTCATAATCGCAGCCAGGGACCGACCCTTGATATTCTATATTTGAAACGCTGTAAAGAAAAACCAAAGCTGAAAAGAAAAATTCGATATAGAGAGAGAAACGACAGAAAAGAACCGGCGTTTCGCTGCTCTCGCGCTCTCTTTCTGTTACTAAGCGCAGCAACGGTACGTGCGTGATCACCGACAAACACTCTCGCACACGCGCACATACGGCCTGGCAAGTTTTGTGGCGCAGCCGAGGCACACACGTGCCTCACTACATTCGCGAATTCTCTCGTACATATGCATGTATATGCACTAACACCAACACGCTAACAGCTAACTGCAGAGACAGAGGGCATAAAATCGAATTTGCAAACGCGTTCAAAGTATTTCGCCTCTTTCTCTTGATTGTCCTCTCTCGCTCTTTCTCTCACTCTCTGCGTCTTGTCTTTCGCACACCGTTCGCCAAAAAGGAATTGCTAGCAGCTACACTTTTGTATTTTACAACAGATCATAAACTTTAAGCCTCTCGCGCAGATTGTGGTATAATGAACTTGGACTTGCTGCCGCTCAAGTCTCTGTATATGTATGCGTGTGCTCGTGCCTGTACGAGTGTATGTGTATGTGTGCGTGATGTGTCACGGCGGCTGCTGTTGCCGCTGCTGCTGCGATCGCGAGCAACTTTTGACTGCCGCGCGTTGTGAATAATTGCAAATTTTGTTCGAATGTCGTTTTGTCGTGCCCAGCCGAGCATGTGTTAGTGTGTGAGTGAGGCATTTAATTGTATATGTATGTATGTACATGTGTATATAGCAATGGCGACGACTTCGAGGCTGCCATATGTATGTACATATCTGCCAGGCTATATACGTATGTATGTATGTATATAAAATAAGCAGCAGGCTAGCAGACATGACTGCTTTATATGCCATATATATATATATATGCATATACATATTTATGTAAATGTGGTTGTGTGCTTTGCTTGGGTGGGGCATTCCTAACCTCAAATAGTAACAATGCGCCGATGACTGCCGAGTGCAGTAGTCTATCTGTCTGTGTGTGGGTGCTGCCTGCGCCTCTCTTTCTCTCTCCCACTGCCTTTCTTCATTTGCAAGCACATGCTTTTCAAATGAGCACGCCCTTAACCCTGAGTTGGAGTTTGCCATCAAATATCTTGCAAATGTGATCAGACACTCACGCACACACACGCATACAAAATTAAACCATTTGTTTGTGTGTACGTAACGTCGTCGTGGGTCTGGGCAACATTTTTGTCTAAAATTAATATTTGGGCGACAAAAATTTCTGCGGCTGTTCGTGTTTCTATGTTGGTGTAGCTTTGTCTCTCGGTTTTCGTGCGTGCTCTGTAGCCAAACGAAATTTGGAAATATGTAAAATCTACAATGTGTGTAGAATCATGTGGTCGTCCGTAGCTTCAAACAATTTTGCAGCTATTTGCGTCACTCTTTCGCCGCTGCTGTCGGCGAGAATCGTTGAGAATTGCTTCGTCTCTCTACATGAAAGTTTTGTCTGTGTGCGTACCGAAAATTTGTTGTGTGGTTTGTTGTTGTTGCTGCTGCCGCTGCTGGTGCCTTGTGATATCAAAACGCTAAAAATAAACCCAACCTCAACTACAAATTTTGTTCAAGTCTTCTTTTATAACGAGCATTTGGTCGCTTTTGACCTGCGTTAATTCCGTTCTCGACTGCCAGAAAAACCCAGAAGCAATTACGCGTCGATGACGCTGTCACCCGCCCGCCAATCCGGCAATCTGCCAATCCGCTCAAGCATTGAATTTCACAATATGTTCTGTGTCCGTTTTTTCTCCGTTGCTTTTTTTTTAACTGGTCTTATACATATTTCGTTCACAGTAAACTTCCGTTGCACTTGGATTGCGTCTATTTGGCCGCCTGGCTGGCTGAGCTTTTTTTTCTTTCTTTGTTGCTTTAATTATTGTTCACACACACGCGCGCTGCAAAGTTTAACTTTAATTTCTTTTCGTTGTTCATCGCTCATTGCACACACTCGCATAAGCACAAGCACAGACCCACTCACACAATTACACACACACAGCGAGAGTAGAGACACAATCGGCCACTTGATGTGCAAATGGCCGACTGTGTGGCCGCCTAGAAGCGCTCTGGCCTTTTATTTTATTTGGTTCTGATTTTGACTTTGCCTTTTGCTTTTTGCTACTTGCTACTATTTTGCCAGCTCTCTGTCGATTGAGCGAAAGCAAAGCGAAGCGAAGCGAACCGCGCACGCCGGCTGTTGGTGATCAAATGCTCAATGTTGCTGCTTAATCAAAAGCCGAATGCGCGAATTTTATTTCGCATTGCCACAAAGTCGACGTCGCTGCCGGCTGTCGCAGTCACTGCCTCTGCCAGCGTCGTCAGCTGGCTGAGTGTGCATGTGAATGTGTGTGTCTGCAACAAACGCTAACGCACACACACACACACATTAGCAAAAGCAAAGGCAGCACCAGCAACAGCAGCAGCCGTATGTGTTGCCGTTTCTTTCGCTTCCTGCTTCCTACACCGCGCTTTCCGCTTACCAATACATACGCACACGCACGAGCATACATATATTGCATATACGTTTTGCCCAGTTCTCACTCACGGGTTCCTTTGTTATAAAAGTGGCAGGCACCACCAGCCAGCAGACTGCAACAAAAAGCACGCACAGTGGGCATAACTAAGATTTAATCCCTTCACTTTACAGAAATGTGTATACACACATCTGTGCTGTAATTAATTGTAATTGATATATTACTTTATAAAACATGTGTTGCACTCACTTCCAAGTTACCTACCTCTATTTAGAAACAGCTGTTTAATATAAATAGTGAAAGAAAAACAACAGCTGTATTACACTGAACTTTTTAATTGTCATTATTAGGCTGTTTTTACTTGTTGAAAAGCAGAATTATATAATGTACAAATGTTGTATGATGGCCTGATTAAGCAAGTCGTTATTTGCATTTCACGATTTGAGCAATTCGCTAATGAGTTAATCTATATGGTTATTCAAATAAATCCGAGAGAATTTGATATCAGAAAAGCTATCACTAAGATGAACATTTAATCATATAGTTTTTGCTGGACGAAAAATTTTTATGTTAATATATCCTGACATAAAAGATCTGGTATAGCCACTTAAATTTTCCCGTGGTTACTTCCTTTTGATTTGTTACTAAAAATTAATATATTATTTTACATAGTCTAAATCAGTTTTTGAAATTTTTCTCTTTTTTTGTTTTTGATGTGATTATCTTTAATCAAATATATATATTGAATAATTCCTATACTCTCAAATTGATGAAGGCGGGCGTTAGCTATAATTGAATAGCTTTCACTGCTTGCCAATGGTGTGAGTACCACTGTGCGACGGATTGATGTCTGCGTCTGGCAGGGCGGAATTGTCGTTGCCTGGCTGGCTGGCTGCCTGCTTGCCGCGCTGCTGGCGTCGCTGATGATGTTGCTGTTGCTGCTGCTGCGACTGCTGCTGCATATGCTTTTTAGCCATAAACGTGGCGTGCAGTCGCAGTCACTGAGTGCTCCCTTGGCTTGTGCAGTTTTTGTGTCTCTTCAGCCCCTGTTCGCTGTTTGCTGCTCGCTGCTCTCTGCTCGCTACCTGTCTGACGCTTTGTTTCTCTGTGCTTTGGTATTGGTGATTGCCACTGTCTGCGCGCGTGTGTGTGTCTGTGGCGCTGCCTCACTCACTACCCGAGGAGTGTCTGGGCGGCAATGTCAATGCGCCGCTGCTGTTGCTGTTGCAGTCGTCGTCGCTTGTGCCTCTGCCTCTGTCTCACAGTGTGCACTTTTTGCGATGCGCTGTTGCTACACAGACCGCCCCAGCCGCAGCCCCGCCCTGTCCGACAACAACTGCCATGTAAACGCGTTGGCTTTTCTTGCCCGCTTCCATGATTCATCTTGGGGCCCCTGAAGTGATGAGCTCAGTGGTGAACAATAAAAAACGAAGTAGAAAATAAAAAAAAAAATTATAAATCTCAAGACGGCGGCGGCTGGTTTCTTTGCTGCTCAACATCGACTACATATAAATATACATACATACATACATATATACATATATATTTAAGTCAAAATCATAATCGGTATTGTGTGGAATTTTTTGTTTGTTTACTATGTATGTATCTGCAATTATTAATTAGCTACCAACAAATACAACAATACTTGAGGCCTTAAGCAATATACACAAATTATAATGAATCTCTATGGATTTACGAAGAGTCCGCCAAGCACACCTGGGCGTGCTTCCAACCACGTGGTTAAGGTGAGGCGCTCGGCTGTGCCGGTATAAAGGGCTGCCAGCGCAGGCAGGAGTCGTCGATTTTGGGAAACGTACCCCGGCGCTTCACTCGCTCCTCATACTCATCCAGCACATCCTAGAAAATGTATTAAATTATATTAATATCTCAGTGTGTGATCGGAACTCAGCTGAGCTCACCTGCTTTTTGAGCACTATATGTTTGCCTTTCCAGTACTTCATCATGCCCAGCGCCTGGAGTGTGCTCACAATATCATACGAATAGATGGCCATTTCCTGTGCGAGGTCGAAGATCACAATTATTGTTATATATTATATGTATATCTAAGACAGTAAATTATTCGATGCTCACCTGAGAAACATCTTTGATGCATATCGTATTGCCGGAACGATTGCAGAGATAGTCCAAAAGCACATCCTTCCAATATGAGCGATATGATATGAGACCCAGGTCCGAGAGTGGCTTCTCCGGCGAACCAATTTTGCCTTCGACGCGGGTTAGCAGATAGCCTGGTAAAAGCACATTAAACACATGCCCATAAGTATGCTATAGATAGAACTAGCTTTCAAGTTCCGGCGCATTATTTATGGTGACCAAGTTTGCCCCGCCCACAACGCAGCCCTTACAGCGCGTACCCAACTCAGCGTTGTGTGTTGTGTCTAGACAGGATTCCACAAAGTGTGCGTCCCAAGTGGGTGGCGGGGAGCAACGAGCGAGCGAACGAACCAAGGAACAAACAACAACAATAACAACGTCGATGACGGCGACGGCGGTTGCCGGCCCGGCCACATGAATGACGAACGGCGGGCATTTAAACAGCGTTCTGGCGTGCATTCAACCCAAAAGCTCAACCCCCAAAGCTCGTCGACGTTGTCGTCGTCGTCTGGCAGCAACAATTCTCGAGTCTAGATAACAACAACAGCAACAATGAGTGCAGCAAGTAAATCAACGAGGACGAGCCCGGCGTGCCCTCACAACACAAAACCCACTGAGGCAGGCTCGGGTAAAAAAGCCAACGCCACAGACATACAATACATACGTACACACGTACACATGTACACAAGCACATACACTCATTCACTCACACACGCGTACGCAGACGCTAGACACACTCAATAGCAGACACAACTGCAACTGGTTGAGTTATAACGGGGGAATAAGGGAATAAAAGAAAACAGCGTGCGAAAGCTTCGGCTCAGCTTCAGATGTTGTTATTGTTTTGTATTGCTCTTCAGTACAATGGAACAGAACATGTGTGTGTGTGAGTCACGTACATTTCAGCCAGCCCTAAGTTTGCGTACGCAAGTGATCTTTGCACTCACAGCTGTGCGATGATTTTGCATATCACTATCGATATGCGTGCCGCTGCTGGCAGCACAGCTGCTTATCGATAGAATTAACCAAACAAAACTTATTTATGTCAGAGCTAATTCGTAATTTACAGTAAACAAACATGAGGCGTTGCTCGGTACCAAATTGTAATTATACAAGCGAAACGAAGAGTAAACTAATTCGTTTCTTCGAATTACCGATGAACCACAAATTAGCAACAAAATGGTTGGCTTTCTGTGGCGATCCAAATCTCAAATATAGAAAGGGCACATATGTTTGCTCGGAGCATTTTAGGCCGGAAGATATTGGTATATAGTATTAGGAAACAATTGCACATTATTTAAACTAACAGATATAATTTTTCCCACAGGCATGCGCCGATTAAACCCAAATGCAGTCCCGTGCATTAATAGTGGAACAACGAAGAAGAATTTGAAGAGGAGCACAAAACTGTCAAAAAGCAAGAGCATAGAGGACGATCTTTTTGCTAGTTTAAAAAGCAAAAGGGAAGTCTCTGACTTGGAAAGCAATGACGATACAGAGGAAACAGAAATTAAAGTTGAACAAAATATATTTGATCACATGCTGGATACAGAAAGCTCGGAAGCTGTTATTGATGAGCTAAGTAATCAAGTGTAAGTTTATTTTCCATTCAGAAATCCTTTGCACGTCGAATTACTTAATTTGAAACAATACTTTGTGAACTTAGAAATAATCGCCTCACATTAATTCTCTTATCAATTACAGCAAGGACCTACGTATGGAAAATATTCGCTTGAAAGTCAACATGCAATTGGCGCAGAAAAAATACAAAGCTGAAATTAATAAACTAACTAAAGAACTTCAAGAGGCTAATTCGCACATATTAATTTTGGAGATGCAACAAGAATATGCGATGAAATGAATAAATTGCAGTTGTAGCCCGTTGAAAAAAAAAGTGATAATAAGAAATCCTAGTGATAGACAACTATATTATGTTTGTTGTCTAGCCTCAATATACCTGTAACTTGCTTATGCATTAGTTATGTAAGCGAAAAACATTGTGCCACAAATATTAACTTTAATAACTCATATACTTATCAAAACACATTCTTATGGAAAAGCCAAGAACTTATTTCAATGACATTATAGCTAAGCATGCTGATATGTGCTAGCGAAAAGCCTTTTGACCTTATTAAAGAATTATGATTACTCTAAGCAAACATACCTAAGAATAATTACGACTTTGTTATCAAGTTAAGAAGTAAAACTGAATATTTTTAATACTTTCTGTATTTAACTTTTGTGTTCTTAATTTTGGAATGTATAAAATACTCGTTAAATAAGCGCTAAGCTGAGCAATCCACTTTTGTTCGTTAGAAAAGCTATGCGTTCCACTGTTCGCAAAGCTTTGAGCTCTGCTCTACCTATATGGAGATGCAGTTGCTCTTGGGCTAGCGTTTTGATTTCTTTGCGTCTGTCGTCGCGCTCTCTCTCTCTCTCTCTCCCCCATTCTCTTTGACGCTCATCGTCCTGTCTGTGTTCTTATACATGTATGGGTGTGCTTCTGAGTATGAGCGGTAACGTCGAGACGACTTTATCGATCCATGGCTGATTCGCATTCGTTGGCCGAACTGCGCAATGTTGCCTACCCACAGGCGCATGCAGTTGCCTCGACTATAGAGCAGGCTTGCAGCTGATGAATGCAACAACGGCAACGACAACACAGTGCCAAACGTTACGCAGTTGCAAAAAAAAAAAAAAAAAAAAAAAAACAATTAACAACTTAAGAATCTTAGTCAATTAGCATTGCACTAATAACTGTTGCTTCTGGTGGTGCTGCTACTGCTGTTGTTGTTAGTGCAATTAGCAAAAAAGCTCGTTTAGCGGGTATCCGATACTCGACTACCCGCCTAGTTGACTAGCCGCAGCCGCTTGCTCGACTCGCAGCACGCAGAGGACGACGCCCTTTCATTGTGACCTGCGCTGACCTTTGTTGTCTGCCGTCAATTGCTGTTGCTGCTGCAGCTGTTGTTGTTGTTGCTGTTGCGTCGCTGTCTGCAAAAGTTTTTGTATATTTATTTTGTTCTTGTTTTAATTTTATTTTTATGCGCGAGCTTTAAACGCCCGCTGGAAATTTTTGGGGCTGAAACTTTTGCAACGCCGCTTTGTGGTTGGGCTTGATTTCATTAATTAATACATTAGCCTGCAGATAAGGGCGAGCGTAGTCCGTCACTCTCTTGCTCTCCCTGTCCCTCTCTCTCTCTCTCTCAGTTTGCCCATTTGCATATTGCGTGCATGCAGTTATTACACCTGGCCATATTATGTACTTGATACAGATATATGTACATATATATTTATGTATTTATATACATATATATATCGCCATCTCGCTCAGCTGCCTGGCCGTTTGTTAATGAGCCAGACACGTCCACCGCTTGGACAGGCAGTCCAGACACTTAACGCTGTCCTTAACCCCAGCAGTTTAGTTGAGCCCGTTCCCATGTCTTGGCCGGACACCTGTCCACCAACTCAAAGGGCCGAAACGCCACACATTTTCTGGGTGTTTGTTAATAATGACGAAAACTGTTTGCACTCGCACTACGCTCGCTCTTGCTGTCCCGCTCGCGCCGCACTCACTTTGCTTAAGCTCTCTCTCAACTGTGGCCATTCGCTTGCTTGTGTGTGTATGTGTGTGTGTAAGGTCAATGTCGTTTCGTTCGTTCTACTATGCTCTGCCCCCCGTTCTCTTGACTATCTCTCTCGCTCTCACCCGCTGCTTGGAGTGGAACGTGTGTGGACGCCCGCATTGCATGTATCGACTGGCTTTATACATAGAGACCGACGTGGACGCCGTTGCCATTCATCCCATCCAAGTCGCGTATGACTCAAGTGCTCGGCCAGAGCGGCTGGAAGGGGTAATTCTTTTTGTTGTTGCAATATAAATATTTTTTTCTTTGCTGCTGCTGCTGCTGCGCCTGTTTCTTTATTGTCTGGCGCTGTCTTCGTCCATTTCAAAGGCGGATTAATTTTAAACAATTTTGGTGGCAACAACGATAAAAAAATTACTTATACTTGCATATATGCATGTGTGTGTGACTGCATACACACCTGCAAAGCTTGGTCTACGCCTAATTGATGCAGAAATTGCATGCATCGCTCTGCAGCATGAAAAGCTAAGCTCGACTGGAGCCACTGTCTATGGCTGGCATGTCGCTTGACTTCTCTCATGCAATCATGATTAACTATATTGCACTACTAGCCCGCCATATAAGCCAATGAGTCACACGCACACCTCACGTACCACTTAAATCGATAGCCGGCTCATTATGGCAAGCGAAAAATAAATACAAAATGAACATTTTCAATTTTCTCCTGCCTGGTTCCTAAGCTCTGCTCTTCGAGGTTCTAGAAGCTGCAAACATCAATTTGTGCCTCCAAAAAAGTAATAAATGATTTGAAAATAACTAAGAGACTTTCTGATGAGACTGTATTTTGAAGAAGATAAATTAGTGATAAATTATTAATTAGATAGAAAGAAATAGGCTAAAAGGTACATTAAAAATATAAATAATTTTCTCCGAAAATGAGGTAAATTTGAAAATAATTTAGTGTATACATATATTAGTGTATACATATATTAATATATTCACATTCCTACTCAATATACAATTTTCAAAAAATTATTAGAACGCTTTTAATTACTTTAGTTTCTTAAATTGTTTTCAATTCTTTTTTTCTTTCTTTTACTAAATTTTGAATTATTTTGTATAATAGGATTTCCGGATAAGCATCTGATTATAAATCAATTGCTTTGAGTGAGGCAAGAAAATTGCCAATAATGGATACAGAAGTTATTAATGCTGGCACATATGCTACAAGATATCTTGTTTAGTCGTATAAGTTTAAGGTAGTAAATATACAAGAAAAATATAAAAATCTAGAAACTGAGTAACATTTGCAGAGCTCATTCAAAGCCCGAAAAATGAAGGTAATTCTAAATAGGGATACCTAGCATTACCTGCAATATTTATTTTTTGAGTCGATCTATAGAGAATCACAGAAGTAACTAACGTATTGACTTTATGGCATATTCAGTTCGGCAGACGCCCGGAAAGAAAGGCGGAGATTGCACAAAATTAATATAATCGTAAACCTATTAAATGTATGACGAATATAATGAAATTCATGCAGTGTATAAACCAGATATATTAATATATTATTATTTATGCATATATATATATATAATTATATATATATATATATATATATATATATATATATATAATTATGTAGGCATCAAAGTTGTTCAAGTGTGAACAAATCACCCAAAGAAGATTGTAAGTGGAAACAAATATAAGGGAATACTTTCTTTATAAGAAAGGACTTCTGATAGTGATGTTTTCTTCTTTGATACCTAAGTGTAACTCAATAAAAGATAGAAAAACAAGTTCAAACATTTGACGTTTAAGCTGAATGGAAGTGTATGGAAAATATATAGTTAAAAATTCTAAAAACAGAATTGCGCTAGACTTACAGGACTTTCATATGAATAGGTACTTTATAACACTTTTCCCTATAACGCCTTTGATTAAGTTACCCGCATTCAGTTAATAGAATTATGTTAATCACAATTGCTTCATAATAGCTGCTCCTATTAGAAGTAAATTGATATATGAATTGGCACTTACTGAAATCGATGAGCAACCTGCCGTAGCCCTTGCGCTGATATGGAGGCAGTGTCAGAATGCAGGAGACGTTATAAAATGAGTTCTTCTCCTGCAGAAATGGAATATGCTGAAAGTAAAAGAAGATAAAAGAATGTTCAATGAAATAAATAAAGCTCGACTTCACATGATTTTTCTTTCGTAATAAACAATACCAGATGATTTATTAAAGTTATGAATTAATTGTTAATTCAATCGATAGGAAAATGCTTGAGGCTGCCTCCCACAGAGCGGAAAGTCAATCAGCCAGACATATGTATAGAAGGAGCTGTCCCTGGATAGGACTGGGGGCTCAGACAGTTTCGGTTGGGGGCTCTCTGTCATTTGATGCTTCTAGCTTTTTCGGGAGTTCAATGACCAGGCGTCGCAGAAATTGAATCGATGCTCTGCAGCGTGCAATGCGTAAATACAGACATATGCACAAACACACGCATACAGACACGTACGCAGCGTATATAGCACATATGTATTTGGGTATATAGCTAGTATTATGTGCATATAAGCGTCAGGGGCGAATGCGCTAATAGAGAGCGGCGAGACGACAAAGAGATCCCACCAAGTTTTCGACTGTGCAGTCGCCGGATGCTGGCAGAGGCGGGGGGACGAGTGCGGGGATGTGGGGGCTGCCAAAAAATAACGGCTGGGTGTGAACTCCAAAAGGCAACAATTCGCAATTCGCAATTCGGAAATACATTTATGTACTTTGCATTTTTATTCTTTGTTTGCCGCGTCGTCTGCCATGATGTCTGGGAACGCACATACGCGTCCCGGCCCGGCCCAGCCCGGCCAGGCCAGCAGCTGGGCTTTCTGGCCAACACCCCAACCAGTTGGAGCAGGCGCACGACTCTCGGCGCAGCGACCGTCGAGGTGCACGACCTCAATCGTGTACGCCCCAGCCGTGGCAGCATCCCTGGCTGGTTCAACTGCCTGCCCCAATCCGTCATGTCTGGCTGCTGTCTGGTGGCATAGTTGCGCAGTATGATGCCGCATGGTGGCAGGGCCAAGGTACTCCAAACACAAACACACACACACACGCACACACACACAGATAGACAAAGCATTGCCAAAAATTAACCAACTGTGAGTGTGAGCCATGTAAACTAGAAACACCCGAATTGTGAGTAGTGTGTAACCAGCTGCTGCTGCTTCTGCTGCTGCCTCGGCTGCATCTACGGGCTTTGGGATGAATGGAATACAGAATACAACACCAACTACGCTCGGTACCAGGACTGGGTCTGGGTCTGGGATTGTGTGCCTGCGCAGCAGCCCGGCGCGACATGCGCAATTTGTAACACAAACCCAGTCTCTGGCAGCGCCCAAAAAACTTGTATGCAACTGCAAATGGCAGGAGGAGCAGGAGGCGGAGGACGAGGGAGACGGAGAGGAGGCGCAGTGAGGGCATCTTGCAGCTGCAGAGCTCGGCTAGACGCCATGTTCAGGGGGAGGTCAAGAAACCGTGCGCACATGCCAGACAATATACTTTGTGTTTATGCTTTTTTTTTTTTTTTTTCCTCTGCTTCTCTGCATGCCTCTTTTTTTGTAGTTTTGCTGGGGAAATCTCCACACTTTGGTCTGGCCGCCCTGACACGCCCCTTGGCTGGTGTCAGCTTATTTACTCCAGCCCCAACGCGGTTGACAAAACAATTTTTGGGTATGGTCAAGAATGCTGCCTGTCTGGGCACATAGCAGCAGCAGCAGCAGCGGCAGCAGCAGAGACTATCCATCTCCCATGTATTACATGGATTCTGGATGCGATTCGGGATGCTGTATATTCAGCGGTTCTGTGCTCTGGGCTCTGGGCTCTGGGTTCTGGGCTGGGCCCAGCTCAGCTCAACTCGGCTCTGTCTGCAGACATAAAAGAATCATAAAACTGTGAAATGGTATTATTCAATTTAATTGCAAGTAACAAACTAGCTTATACGTAAATTCCACAAAGGGAACTTAGTAGGGTATGATTTGAAGAGGGGCCCAATAGATTATATAGATAATGGTTATAATAAAACATTTAATATAGTATTTACTATAACGACCAACAAAAAATTTCTAAACATTTATTGTATGCAAAATTTCGATGTTTTCAATGATATAGGGGAAATCCCGAATACCCATTCTATTGCAGCCCATTGACCGTTATATCAGGTGTGTTTAGCTTTTGTTGCAATTGCAAGTAAATTTAATAGTAATTCCATTTTTAATTTTGTTTCTATTAAAATTGCAAATTACGTACCTAAATGCCTACAAACAATAATTCAGAGAAAGAGAAAAACAATAGAACCATAATATCTATTGATGTGAAACTGAGAATCATTCAAAAACATAATATGATTTGGGTGTGGTTGATTTAGGACTTATATACGTTCACCTTGTCGATCTCAACGATTTCTACCACCCTCAAGAATAAGGACAAGCTTGATGTCGTGAATGTCTTAAAGAGAGTTTCAAGATTGTCTTCTCAATATTGATGTTGAAAGATTTGAGTTTTTCCGTCCGAAACATAACTGTTCCTAGACTCCTGTCAAAGTGACGACTTGACTAACGGAGCATAGAGCATTTTAATTTACTTCGGCCACGAAAGGAACAAAATTTCATAAAATGCATTATTAAATTAGGCAAAGTATTGAATAACCTTTGTAATGCCAGGTTTTAAGGTAAAGTAAAAGTTAAGTATGTTGCATTAAACTGAATGAACAAAAGTTTAATTTATATTTAATGCAACCCGCTTCAAAATTCTATTTCAGTTATAGTTATTGACTATACAAAAAGTTGAATGACAAGGGAATCTAGAATGTTGTGTTTATATCATATTAACATAGTACAAGCTAGGCAGATAGAATATGTATACATGCTATACAGAACTAGAAATTTATATTATAGTATATTCACATTCATAAAGAATTATTACTGTATTGGAAAACATATGCTTAAATGGAGCACAGATATGGAGGAGATGGAATAGAGACGTGAAAGAGAGTCCTGAAATAGTGACACAGTAAAGAGATTTGGGTTAAAGGTGTGGAACACAGATATGGAACAGAGACAGGGACCAAGAACTCGGAAGCGAGGCGTGATATAGACACATGGAACAGAGATGGCTATCAGATACCAGGTATCAATTGGTCTATTTCAATATTAAAAGTTTCTAATATAAAGCCCATTAAAATGCCCAAGTCAGTTAAGCAGACGTCATTGAATCACATAAGATTCAACGAAATTTAAATTGTAAATTAAATAAACTTATATATCCAACAATTCCTGAACTAATCCATGTCATGTCAATAGCTCACCTTGCTGAAGTAGCCCACAATGTGACATCCATCGACATCTGCCAGTGTCATGATGTAAAAGAGAAACGGCTCCACGTCATAGTAGAGCGTCTTGTGGTCGAGGAAGAACTTGGCCAGCAGACACAGGTGTTGGCAGTATTGCTTATATCGTTTGCCATCCACCTGCCACACCTGGAGTTTACCCTTGCGATAGATCTCATCGCCGGGCGGATGCCGCCAGACGCATTTCTGGGCGTGTCGCTTGATGCCCGTCTCGGATTTCTGATAGCGCAGGCAGAACTCACAGATGTACATCTTGGGCAGGCGGGCGGCGTCATCTGGATAGGGCGACTGATACCACACCTTCATTTTGTATTTGCCCATGCTGATGTATCTGCAAGGAAACTGATTAGATATAAGCTTTAGGTAAGGTAAACTCGAACGCACTTGATGCCCTTGCCAACGGGCAAATCTTTGAGCTCGTCCTCGATGCGCTCGGAGGCCAGAGCCTGGGCCTCGCGAAACAGCTGCAAATCGTAGTCGGGCACCAGGCCAGCGAGATTCGGTTCACGATCTTCGTCCGTGCAGTCTTTTTCTATCTTCACCTGAAAGTAGGAAATGCTTTATTAAATGAACTATACATATGGCATTGATATATTCACCTTGTCGTTTAAGGAGTTACTCATGGGCCGGAAGTTGGAGCGTGATTCGCGTATTTTGGCCAGGAAATCACGCTGCTCGGGCGTCAGGGACTTGAGATTGTTATTCTGATTGCCCGGCGCGCTGACAATGTTGATGGGCATCTTGAGGCGCATCTCGTTGCGCAGCTTGCGTTCGTTTGCGCGCTCCTTGCACTCCGAGGCGGACATGTTGTGGAAGATGGGGCAGGCCTCAGGCAGGAAATGGCGATCCAAATTGCCGCTCAAATGGCCAGACGAATCACAGCCTTCGATGGGGCACTTCTTCTCCAGCTGAACGGCCGGCGAGACGGGTCGCGACTTCATTGAGTTCATCTCCTTCTTCACCTTGCATTTGCTGTTGAGCCCGATGTGGGCTGTGGGCGGCTTTTTGGCCGGACTCTTGGAGAGCACGCGCTGCTTGTCGTCATCCTGATCGAGATCCGCATCAGATTCGCTCTCGCTGCCCGGCTTCAGCTGCTGCTGCTTGGACCGGCGCATGCTCAGCGAACGCGTCAGCTTGCGCATGGGATTCGCCTTATCCTTGCGCTCCTCCTCGCTGTCGCCAGCCCCAGCAGCAACACGCTTGCCCTTGGCATTCGATTTGCCCGTCGCCGGCTGAGAGCTGTACGAGTTGGTTGAGTCCGTGCCTTCCGACTCGCTAATGGAGCTGGTCTCTGAGCCTGAGCCACTATCCGAATCATCGCTGCCATCACTGCTGCGGCTCTTCCCGCGCCTGGCCGCAGCAGCAGCTGCAGCTGCAGTCGGTCCATTCTTGTTGTTGCTGTTGCTGGCGCTACTCGTTTTGGCCTGCAGCGCCTTGGCGCGTATTTGCTTGGCTCGCACAGCGGTCGCAGTGCTGGCCAGCTTGAGTGGCACTTTGCGTCCGTTTTTCGCATCCTTGTGCGAGTCATCCGTGCTCATGGAGGAGGAGCTTAGTGACGGTCGCTTGTTGTCCCCATTGCGCTGCGATTGGGCCGTGGCTTTGGCAGTCTGCGGCGCTTTGCTGCTACCGGCTGCTCCGCTCGCTGCCTGCTTGGCCGGCGCTCCTGTTGACGGTTTGCGGCGGGCGGCCGCTGATGCTACGTTGTTGCTCATGGTGCGCGGATTCTTCTTCGCTGGCGGCTCGTCGTCGTCGTCATCATCGTCGCTGGATAGTGCACCGTTGCGCTGATTGCTGGCCGCCACCACAGAGCGCACCTTGCTGGAGGCAGAGCTCAGAGCGCTGTGGTTGCCCGCCGTTTTCGCCTTCTCATTCTCTGCCGGCGTCACTGTCGCCTTGCGACGCACAGCGGCTGGTTGTGTCTTTGCAGGCTGTGGCTTTTCCTCGGGACCGGCGACTGCCGAACTGCTCGAGTCGGTGTCCGACGAGCTGCCCGTATCGGTGCAGCTGGATGAGCCACTTGATGAGCTGCTGCCCGACGTCGAGCTTGAACTGCTGCCAGATTCCATGTTGATAAACAAAACGTAAATAGAACTGTGGGATGCTCGCTTGCAAGGCGATTCCTCTGCTTTTCTTCACTTAGGCGCAATTCCTTTGCTATGAGAATGCACTGCACTAACTTATTATTTTATGCGTTCAATTTTTCTGCATGAATTTGCGAAAATTTGATGTTTGTATTATTTTTGCAGCAAAATGAACAAATGAGTTATAAGGTTCAGCACTGAACTAGTTCGTGGTGGCATTTCGAGCGAACAGCTGTCACGTTGGCACGAACTGAGAAGGTTACTCAAGGGTAGGTTTGTAAATAATTGTATATAACCTTATTTAAAAATATTGTAAACATTTTTTGCTTTTAACAAACTGAAAATTTAAATAAAACAAAAGGTTTTCTTCGAATATAGCACATTTCATTTAGATAATCATTGTCAGTAGGACTGTGACGTCACATATGCTTGATAAGTTTAAAACGATTATTCTGTCGATAAATACTACGTTGATTAGACTGTGTTAAATACATACATATTTAATTATTAGTTCTTGATTTTCATAATTTTCTACATTATATATTCATAGAAAGTTTCCCCATTCCTAATTGTCTGATAGTTGTACAAAGTAATCGTTTAAAATAGTAATTACTCGACTGACTCTCATCTCTAATAACGGAACAGCTGTTTTGCTGCGTTTGTTGTGTGTGGCATTTGTGTGCACTCACATTCAGCGTCCTTCTGAAAAAAGAAAAACTTATAATAAATACTGTTAGCAAGCATTTAGATATACAAATTCTGAATACTGTCATGTATAACGCAGAATGCATTGCTATAAAGGATATTAAGCCCGGTCTGAAAAACATCAATGTTATTTTCATAGTACTCGAGGTCAGTATCTGTTATCGATAACAAACAGTTTTGGCCGATTTGTTTACATTTGTATGCACTTGCAACCAGGTGGGCGTGGCAACCGTCACGAAAGAGAACCGCGAGGTGCGCAATTTCAAAGTGGGCGATCCCACAGCCAGCATCAATGTCTCCATTTGGGATGAGCCGGGCAAGCTGATAACGCCGGGCGACATCATACGACTGACTAAGGGCTATGCCTCCATTTGGCGTCACTGCCTCACACTTTATTCGGGCAAAAATGGCGAGGTCTTCAAGATTGGCGAATTCTGTATGATCTTCAACGAGGCGCTCAATATGAGCGAGCCCAAGCGGCCCGAAACACCTGTGGCCCAGGGTGGCATGGTCGCTGTCCAGACGCCGGTCGCAACGCCCGTGGGCGTGGTAGCTGGCGCTGTGCAGCCACCACCTAATCCAACACCACCAGTTGTGGTGCCACCCACAATTGTAAAGCAGGCAGCGCGCGGTGGTCGAACGGGCACAGCCCGAGCCGGAGCTCTGAAAGCGGAGCGCAGATAAAGCAGATGCACCCGGAATCACTGAGTACAAGGAGAAGCTTCGTAACAAATTTATTAATAAATTATGTGAACGTTTTTATTGCGAATCGTAGACAGAGAATAGTTTGTGAAACATTTGTTTTAAGGGATCTGTATCTGTAAGAATTACATACATACATACAAAATAATGAGAAATAAGTAAATATTGTATTTAAAAAAACGACAACATCTAAAATGTGTGTTGTGTGCGTGTGCGTTTACGTGTACGTGTGTGCGTGTGTGTGTGAGTGTGGAATTAGCTTAAGCTACAGCGAGCCGCAACGCTTATATCTTCTTCTTCTTCTCATAGTTAGCCTGAACGGCTTTCAGCAGCCAGCCAACCTCCTCGACGGTCTTGATCTGATAGTTGGCATAGGTCTTCAGCGTTGGCAGCTCCGAAACACGGAAGGTCTTGCCAATGCCATGGAGCACCTTGATGGCATCCTCATCGGTGGTATCATCGCCCACATAGATAATTTTCAAGTTCTTGGCCCAATCAGCATCGAATTGCTTCTCCAGAATCATCTTAGCGCCCTCTCCTGCAAAAAAAAAAAAAAAAAAAAAAAAAAAAAAAGTTAAATAAAATACAAATTAAAAATAAATACCATATATAAAAATATATATTTATCTATATATATATATATCATGTATGACTTGTACGACTTTATGTATTTTCTCTCTCAGTGTTTCTCTTGTTCCTCTAAGTATTTCTTCTAAGTCTTTCCTCAAAGGATTTCTTAAAAGTAATTTCATTTCACTTCACTTTACTGCACTGCACGACTGACCCCAACCAGGCCTGGGCGACTGAAGAATTGCTACAGCTGATGCCCTTTATATTGGGCGTCTCTCACTCGAACGAAGTAGAGCTCAAATGTTGAGCCCGACGCCAGGTGGAAGTCGTAGCAGTCGAACATTAAGTAACCAATGGGAGCGCTCTCTGCTGCTGCAAGCATTCGAGCTTCGCTTTATTTGAATATAAATACTAAACAAGTACTCCTGCATACATATGGAGAACTTAAATGATCTGAAGTTCTGCATACTCTGAGTCTAATATTTATTTATATATTACTGAAAGTTATACATATTTATATCAAAAAGCTACTAACATATTTTTCATATTATTATAAAGTATTTATATATGTATATCAGACTACTATATACATATATACTTCATATAAATATGATTTAAATTACGAGTATTATGCATAAATTTGGAATAAATTTGGCATAATATAAATGCGTATGAAATTTAATTTACCCTTTCTCAAAAGAAAATCTTTTACTTAGCTAAACTAATACATGTTTATTTTAAAATTTTTTATCCATTTAGCTATATTTAAACATTTTTCCATTTTCTTTCTGGAGCACAAAACAACAACAACATATTGTTACAAAGCAAGTTCTGTTGTTTTTTTTTCCAAATATTTTGAAAAGTTCACTCGCTATATATAAATCTAGAGGGGCCTGCAGCGACAACGAGCTAGAGATTTATCTATATGTATATTCAGTTTTTAGTTTTCAATTTTCAGTTTTCTGGTATTTTCTAGCCGTTATTTTTAGGTGTTTGTGTGGGCGTGGAGTGAGCAAAGTGTTTTTGGGCAAGTAAGTCTATGCAAACCACATCTCATTCTCCCTCTCTCTTTATCACTATCTCTCTCTCTCTCTCCTCCTCCTTTCTATATAATGTACATATATATGTGTTTATCTCTATGTATGATCTATAGAGAGCAACATTTTGATTATTTTAATTGTGCGAGTTTTTTGGTTTTTGTTTGTATTTTTTGTTGTTTTTGTTGTTTTGCCACCTATTAACGCGAAATTTTTGTTTAATTGATGACGCATTAGCCAACGTCTCCTGCCGGTTCCCGAACCCAAAAAGTATTGCATTCAAAATTGTTTTTTTGTTTTTGTTGTTGTTCTTTTTTTTCAGACGGCACCAACAATTCAGTCGAGATCTTTTGTTGCCATTGCGCTCGGCAAGCTTTCATATAAATATATAAGTATATAAAAAATATATTTATATGTATATATATTTTTGTGTGATTTTTCCACTACACAAATTTATTGCTATATAATTAAATTTTATTTTGTTGTCTTTTGAATTATGCACATTTGTCGCAGCTCATTGGAAATGTCTTATTTGCTTTCAGCTAGACAAGATCTTTTTCTACATATATATGTATATATATTTTTTGGAACGTTGTCTGAATTGCACTGGGATTTGTTTATCGTTTTTTTTTGTCATCTCATCTCGAAAATATTTATGAATTCCGTTTGGAATTCATTTGTGGAACATCTAAAATATGGCTAGCACAATTTTTGCTTTCTTTTTAATATTTGATCAAAGGGCATTTTAAAGTCGCATATTTTGATAATATTGAAAAAGCAAAATATGATTTAAGTGTGGAAAATTTGTAAGAGATATTTACGAGATTTAGTTAATAAAAAGTTAATATACATTTTTTGACTTAAAATTTCGTTTAGCTGTTATGAAAAAAAATATTTATAAATACTTTACCATTATTTTTTTTTTTAATTTTATTTTCAGTAATTTGGTATCTTTGTAGCTGTTCCTAAATATATAGATATATAAGTAATTAAATAATTTTTTGCTGGTATTTTTATTTTAAACTAAGGAAATATGTTTCCTTTATGCTTTGCATTAAAAACTCATTAAGGAAAGAGCGCCAGCATTTTTGCACATACAAACTGATTCGGATTTGTGCTGAAACCCACGCAATATATATTTATGTATATGTATATACATTATTTATGTTTATATCGACGTGAATCTACATTTATAGTTTATAGGTCTTTTGAAGCAATGCATCATTAGCAAAAATCTTTCCGAATTAGTTGCGCGTAGTTAAGGGAAGAAAAAAATGAACGAGTATAAAAAATGGAGCAACAAAAATGTTTTGTTTGTTTTTTATGCTTTTAATTGAATAATGTTTAAAATATATGTATATATATTTTTTATGACTTAGAAATCAGAATACCATTTCTAGATATTCTATATATGTATATTGATATTCTTTATTGATATATTAACTGTCAATATCGATCAATAATATAAGTATATGCATATACATGTTTGTCAAATTTTCGCATGCAAAATTTATATACCCTCTAGCTGCAAATAGAAACAATTCAGTGTCTCGTCAGAATGACAAGTGTATATAGACCGCAAAAATGATTTTTTTTTTATGTACAGCGTATATGTATATGTTATGTACAGATATTTAAAATAGAAATCTTCATATAACTCAAGTCAAATGCGGGAAAAATAAAAACAAAACAATTCGAAAAATGAAAGCGAAAATTTCTATGATAAATTGTACGAAATTTTTTAAAATTTATCAGTAGGCAAGTAAATAATTATATATGTATATAGAAGCAAATATATATAGATTTAAAGATCGTTTGGTGGCGCGCTTTTGACATCAGGTTTTGCTCCGCTTCTTTGTCAAGAGGGGCGAAAAGAAACCAACTGCTGTGGCGACTGTCCACATAAATTTTTGAGATATATATTTTGTTATTTTCATTTTGAAAAATATCAGCACACAAGAGCCGCCCACATGGCCCGGGCTGGGAAAAAGAATAATTTGTTTTTTTTTTTTTTGCACCCGTCGTTTATAGAAAATATGGCAATAATTAAATCATCGAAGAGTCGCGTCTCGAATCGAATTGTTTTGAACAGGTGCCGACGCGCAGCGACGCGACGTAGAAGTCGACAGCGAATGGGCGGCAACAGTTGGCCAAGATTATCGAGACATATCGATGATGCATATTAATGAATGATCGCTGGTCTAGTCTATGGTTAGTCAGCCATCTCACACTAGTTGCTAGTTGCACTAACCTTTGTCCCAGTTGACGCGTGGCTTGCCCTCCAGAGCGTATGGCGTTTCAATCAGCTGGAAGCCGTGCGACTGAATCAGACCCTTGGCCTCGGCAATCAACTTGGCCTTCAGCTTGTCGGTGACGCCCTTGTAGTGATAGGTGACCGAAATCTTCTTGTCCTCCACCCAGGCGCCGGAGCAAACGACCTGCGGAAAGAGAATTGAACAGAATTTCATAAGTATTCATCTTAAAGTGGGTAGTGATCGATTTGTTTTACCTTCTCCTTCAGCTCGGCGACTAGCTTGTTGTGCTTCTCGAGCAGCTCTTCGGGCATTTCGATCTTGAACTTCTTGCCGGAAGGATATTCCACTTCCAGGCCATGGTTGCCGGCATAGGTAACATTGGGGAATTTCAGATGGTTCTTGATTTCGCTCAGCTCACGGCCGGAGAAGACAACCATGAAAATCTTATCGTTGGCAGCCAGTTTCTTGATGTTGATCTCCGTATCCTTGGGCATCACCGACAGCTCCTCCGTCAGAGGCGCAAGTGTGCCATCGTAGTCCAACAGCAGGGCCACCTGATCCTTTTCGGGTGTGATGAAGCTAAGCACAGGTCACAGAGCATTGAGAGCCTGCTCGCGTATCTTTTTGCTTAGTACTTACCCTTCCAGAGCCTTGACGAAGTCCTCCTCCTTTTTCAAGAGCGGTGCTTTCTTTTGTTCAGCCATATTGTGTCTCTAGGCTAGTACTCTAAGTATATATCTATATATATATATATCTATAAATCAGATGCTGTATCTACCGGAAACTGTGCGACGTGCTGGACGTACCTCGACCGACTTAATACTAATGCCAAAATCGCAGCAGCGCTAGCCCCATGCCAGAAATCTATATGCATGAGAATTCTATCCGAATTTTGTTCTCTCAATTCTGAATTCTCAATTCTCATGCGCGCTCATGAGTGTGACAACCCTGGTCACCCCGACGCAGCCACGTTATTTATGAGGCAGATGTGCATAAAAAAAGCACATACCATATAATGGAAGCACGTCTATATATATGTATATATAAATGTATATAGCCTGGTTATACACACAAGATTGTCTTCTACATTATATAGGATTGCTTGTATAGCGAGGTGGGATCACAGCGAGTGGTTTTTGAGGTCTGAGGTCGTTTTTGTTTTGGAATTGCCTCCATTGACACAGTTCTTACCATTTGTACTTCCTTTGACTTTACTTGAGTTTCATTCATTGATCGAGTGTTTATGGTATACGATTCCATAAAAACCCATATATCTTGACTAACAGCTGATCGTGTTTTCTTTTACTTACTTAGCGGATCCATAAATTATGGATGTAAGCACTGGTTTATAAACAATCCGTTATATATAGTGTCTATACTCGAGTCTAGAATGCGGACTATGCACAGCTCCTAAGTGGTCCTAAACCACTTACCAATAAATAATCAAGTGTATGTAATTCTATGGTTTACATTACGAGGTATCTGCTTATATGGGTATAATATAATATATAGTGCTCAAATGTATAACTACAATTATTGCGAATGGCATAGAGAATTGATATTATTGTTAAAGTATAAGAGACATGGATGTACATTCAACCTGATCGTCGCGATATTCTAATATATATATATATATATATATATATATATATATATATATATATATATATATATCATTATAGCAGTGCATCAGACTAATCGGAATATCATTATCTAAGTTTTCCCTTTAATCTATTTTTCCTTCCGGCAGCCCTTTGAACGCACGTTCTTTCGCACTCCTGTAGTGTTCGGAAATTATTTACATTACCGCCGCATCCGCCATAGTAAAAGAGTTTGCACACGTTTTCTCTATAGCAGTATGTCCAGCGGGAAAGTGTTTGGAAGCAAATATAACCTCCGTAGCCATCTGCTGCTGGCGGTCGAGTACATCTGTCTGAAGACGTGTCAAAAGTTAGGCAAGTCTCTCGGGATCAGTGACTAAGACTTACAAGGCAAGGCGGCCAAAGAGCGGCCAAAGAGAGCGATGAGAACGCAAAGGACTGCTGCAAACTTCATGTTGTATGTATTCTTCCAGCTTCGGTAGAGCAACTAACAAAATGTATTGCAGTTCACAGCGAAACCAATTCACAATCAAGAAATAGGCGGTGTACAGCACAATCGAATCTAATTGCAAGCAATACAGATTGACTTAACCATTTGCAGGGCTTCATAATTTGTAACGCCATTTAGAGAGATGGACCCTCTGCCGTTTCGTGCAAATTTTTTATTTAGTCAGATAATCTAATTTACTTTTTGTTCCCTCGCACTGTGCCAGAGTTTTGAACTGACCTCCATTGTCAATAAATAAATAAATAATAATAATAAATAATAAAAAATAAATAATAAATAATAAATAATAAATAATAAATAATAAATAATAAATAATAAATAATAAATAATAAATAATAAATAATAAATAATAAAAAATAAATAATAAATAATAAATAATAAATAATAAATAATAAATAATAAATAATAAATAATAAATAATAAATAATAAATAATAAATAATATTAATAAGTCTATGTAGGAGTGCGACATATATAATTCATTAAATAGCCGGAGCAAAGCTCGATGCGATCGAAGTGGAAGCACCTAAGAATGATCCTATTGATTGCAGAGAGACCCTGATTCTTGCTAACTAATCGTTGGGCATAAAGTTAGGGAGGGTAATGGAAGAGCAGTGAAACTGTGCATATGAATAAGTGCGCTCAGCTGGAAATACCCTCTTAGTAATACTCGTGTGTAAAATCCGACTCTGAGTAAGGCTCAACAATAGAGACTGGATTTGTGTGAGTAGGTGCCCTATATAAGGGCTAGACATAGCAGCGCAACTTCAGTTCTCAGTCGACCGGTGCAGAGCTGCAGTTCCTATTCGTCTTCTTTTTTTGAGTGTGGTAAGTAAGTATTGGAATAGCTATTAATATTAATTAATCATTTTAAATTCTATACATTTTTATACTCATTCACGAAAGTGAAATTTTTGTTGTTGTTTTAGATATGTAAGAGTGTTTTTAGGTCAGTTACTGCCGACGGTATATTTGTTTTAATTTTCAGCGCCGTGACAGCTTTTTCTTGTTATTAATTTCCATAAAAGAAATCATATATGTATGCATATGCATACTGATATGGAATAGGAAATTCAATAATTTAATAAAGAATTTAATGCACGATACATAAAGTAAATATCTGAAAATATTAACAAAATTTTTGTGAATTTTATAGTTAGTCAATATTAACATATTTATTGTAGTTTTCTGTTATTAAACATTTTTTTTTTTTTCAATTAAAATGAATAAAACTTTAAAACAAGAGTATATCATCATTCAAAAATCATATTTTTTTTTTAGAGTACAAACAATTTCAAAGTTCTTGCAAATTGTTTAAAATAGTTAAATACTACCTTTAGTAATAAAAAATATTAAATTATATATGTTTAAGAATTTTCTTAGCAAAATTAACAATATTTAAATGTGATTTTGTTTCAACAAATTGTAGTTTCTTATGGATAAAATAAAGTTATAAATAAATTCTTTGAATTGGCTAACAGACGTAAACTGTGGATATCCATTTGAGCAGATCCGTCATGAGATCCTGTTTGGGCAAACGGAAATCCGCAAAGGTTTGTATCTGAGCATCGGCAGCAATGCGGAAGGATCGGCCCAAGCCCTGCAGCACCTGATTAAACTATTATGATTAGTATCGATGCAGTGTTGGATGATAGCTAAGGGAACTTACCCGCATGGCATCCTCATCTGTGGTATCATCGCCCGCGAACACCACGCGCACCTCATCGGCCCAGTTGGGGCCGAATTTGGTCTTGAGAATGTGAAGTGCCGCTTCGCCCTTGTTCCAGTCAACTGGCGGCTTCGCCTCGATGGCCTCGTGCGCCTGATTGGGACGGAAGCCATGTCGCTGACAGATCTCCGCCGCCAGTTGTTTTAGTTCATCCTTCAGGTGCGCAGGTGTATCGCGATAGTGAAAGGTAAGCGAGACGCGCTTATCCTCCACCCAGGCGCCATTCTTCTCCACACGCTCTTTCAACTCATCCACCATGGCCGTATAGTTTCGCTGTATCTCGCCGGGCAGCTCAAAGTCGTGACGCGATCCATCCGGGTACTCAATCTCAAGTCCATGATTGCCTGCAAAGGTAACCCCATCGATGTTGACAAGTGCGTGCACATCCCTCAGTGCACGACCCGAAATGACGGCCATAAATATTTGCGGATGCTTGGCCAGCCTACGCAATATGGCCTCCAGCTCTACGGGCATTTTGGTCTTGTTCGGATTGTCGGCAATGGGCGCCAAGGTGCCATCATAATCCAGCAATATGGCCAGCTTGTTGTGTGTGTCCAGGTAACTGCAGGATGTATGAAATAATTCGAGTTTTACTTTAATTTCAATTATTATATATATATACTTTTGTTTTATATATGTGAGCAAAGAAAAATTTCTAAGTCCTAATAATATTCAATGAAGATATAAACAAAAATATATAATATAATATAAATACATTGCTTAGTATTTAATAATTATTAATGAATGAGCAAATATTTTGAAAGCATACTTTCATTATTAAAAAAAAAAAATTAAAATTTTTTAAAAATAATAAACAAATTATTATAATAATATAATAATAATTATTAATATTTTTTTTTCTCTTAACTATAATTAAGTTTTAACAATTTTCAATGCAATTTTATAGAGTCCACAGAGTTTGTTTTGTATGTTAAAAATTAATCAATATAAAATAATAATCATATACTTTAATTATTAATATTTTTAAATCAAAATATATATATATATTTTTTAAATTTTGCCCATTTTATGCATTTATTTTTCTCTCAGTGTAGCGATTTTCTGAGGCTAATCTGCCTTATCGTCAACACATATTACATGATTTCCCCTAGCCGGCAAGGTCATATATATACATATACATATACGTATATATAGATAATGTTCACTAAATTCGCTTAGACTTACCCTGGTAAATTCTTTTCGAACTCTTCTAATCGATTGATAACTGGTGCAATTTGTTTCTCTGGCATTATGTCAGCTGTTATTTCAGCGTAGCACACGACGCACAAAATGAGTTGTAAGTGTAAGAGTTTCACTGAAATCGAATTGGAGTTTCGAATTAATTGAATTGAATGCTAAATGCTCTCCGGACAACGTCTCAATGTGCACTGCGAGTGGCTGCGATAGTGCCGTTTGCCTTTTAAGTCGTTCTGGACGCGATGATAGTGCGACGCGTTCACTGATAACAAAATCTCGCGCTCAGCTGGTAATCTAAACTTGTTTTCGCACGCTCTCTCTCATTCTCTCTTTCACGGATGCGAGATTCTGGATAAGCAGCGAGAAGTAATCTCTGAGCTCTGATAAACGCTCGCCACCTGTTCGTCTTAAATGCAGACTGTTGAATGCTCCCTGTGTGATTTGTGTTTTTATACTGATTTCATTTCCTGAAAACTGTCTCACGCATTGTTATTGCCTTTGGCTTTGCCTTTGGAAAAACAAAGACAGCGTTTCGCATGCACCCACCCCCACTCTGCCGTTCTCAGCTCTACACTTAATCATGCGTCGCCTTCGTGGCTGGAGCATGCTATCCATTTAATGGGGCATTGCGCTCGCGCCCCAAGTTCATTCCGTTAAACAATGTGCATTTCGGTCAAGTCATTTAATGCTTTACGGGCGTCTTTCTTATATTCCATCAAAGCTCAAGGCTATTTAGTATAAAGGATATGCTGAATATGCTGCATTTGAATATGATATTAATAAAGCTTATTCTATTCTAGTTCTATACTTGTGAGAAGTCTTCATGTTCTTCATGTTAATATGTATATTCTTCTATTTTTTATTTGAACATATAAAACATTAACAAATATTTTGTCAAACAAATTTACGTAGTATAAAAAAGAATAATAAAGAAAAACGGCAAATGTTTTTTTTTTTCTTTTTGATTTGTTGTTCAAAGCATTTGCACAAAGAAATATAGTTCATAAAAATATAAGCAATTTATTTAATATGTCTGTTTTAGTATATATGTACATATATATATTTATTTTAGGCATATTCAGAAATTTTCAAAGAAAATGTGTGGTTGATTAATAGATTGTTGAATGATTTACGGCGCATGTCATAGAAGCTAGAAAGCTAAAGAGACATATGGTTGATCTTAAGTCAGTAGTTAAACATTGTGGGTTGAATTAAAGAAAAATGCTTAAGGAAGAGATTTTTGCTATAGGCTATAGATAATCTATTTAAATAAAAACCTTTTGTAAAGAAATATAGAAACTCAAAAATTGTAACTTCTGTGTGCTTGTAATGTATGAGTAAATAATGTATGCAAATTAGAAATGGGATAAATTCTCTATTATCTAATTTGTGGTTTTATCTTATCTATATTCAATCTACTAGAAACTTCTTATCTAAATTGAATCCATCACATCGTTTTCTTTTCTTATTCTAATTTCCTATTTAAAGTCAATTTATATCTAGCTGTGCCAGAAATTTCAATTATACAAATTTATCTTAGAATCTTGTTCCTCTCTCTAAACACCGCTCATTTCGATAAACAAATCTTTTTTTTTTTTTAAATTAAAGTGAAAATAGGATTGCTTAAAAGTCATCAATAAATTTACTAATTTCTTTCTTTCTTTCTAATTTCATTGATGAAAAGTGAATTTTGAATATTTGAAACTATATAGATATTTCTGATCTAATAATATAATTTAATAATATTAAAAATATTTATTTTGGCATAACAAAATGAGAAATTTCATATTGACGATATATATTCAACAGCAACTATAAGATCAATATTTGATTTTCTTTGAAATAAAATCAGCCAAATTGTGAACATCATAGATAAATGACATCTTAATGTATTGCAATCGAACCAGTTTTAATTAAGAGGCGCAGCTGGGCATTATAGACCCATATGGTTACCCGCTCTTTGATTAGGCTGCACGAGTGCCATCTGTGCCACAAGCATGCCATAAGCGCATGCTCATGTCGTCGCGATTCTCAAATCTAGTCAAACTATTTACTCACGATATTTGCCTGCATAAGCGATAAATCGAGGCATATTAGTGGAGAGCAGTGTCAACGCCTGTGTCTAATCTAAAGCAAACAAGCTGCTTTCCATATTAATTTAGCTCTACTTGCCATTGGATATGCTGTCTGATCGATCGCCCAGAGAGTCCACTGAGTCATGTAGCCCTAGAGGTTTTATAAACAAATCGTTGAGTGCTAATATGATATAATTAAAACACGAGACATTCACGTTGTCAACAAGTGTCTGGCCTCAGCCATATTATCACATACACATACACATACACATGTCTTTCATTAACTATTTGACATATATATTTTTCCATTGCCCCCGTTGATCTGAAGCATTCGAAACATGTTTTCCACTCACTTTTGATTGCTTTGATTAGTCGTCGCTATTTTTGGCCTTAAATATTGAAATACTTAAGTTTGTAAACTGTGCAAACGAAAATTCAATTTGTTCAGCCCAATTAGTAAATATTGTCTAAACTATGCCAAATGTTTTTCTTTTGCTTGCTAAGCTTTCAAAGAGCTTTTCCTTGGCTCTTTGGCGCGGCGACTATTTATTTGTCTAGCGAGCGGGCACCACAAATAGAAAAATCCGTATATGTAAAATTAGGAAAAGTGTTGAGAGCATAAAATGGAACAGTGGGACGATACTAAGGCATGTGTATATAAGTGTATATATACATATATAGCTATAAATTTACTGAATAATAAGAAATGTAAACTGTGCTGCAGTTAAAATTATCATGCTAATATCATTTCACTTTCATTTGAATTTAAACTCAGCCTAAAAATATGCTAGTTATTTTAATCAAATTGATTCTTGGTTTTAGCACAGCAAATTCTTACACCTATGTATCTATGTATCTATGTATCTATGTATCTATGTATCTATGTATCTATGTATCTATGTATCTATGTATCTATGTATCTATGTATCTATGTATCTATGTATCTATGTATCTATGTATCTATGTATCTATGTATCTATGTATCTATATATCTATATAACTATATATCTGTGTATCTATGTATCTATGTATCTATGTATCTATGTATCTATGTATCTATGTATCTATGTATCTATGTATCTATGTATCTATGTATCTATGTATCTATGTATCTATGTATCTATGTATCTATGTATCTATGTATCTATGTATCTATGTATCTATGTATCTATGTATCTATGTATCTATGTATCTATGTATCTATGTATCTATGTATCTATGTATCTATGTATCTATGTATCTATGTATCTATATATTTTTACATTAAATATCTACATAACCGAGTACAAAAAAATAATAGGTCGTAAATGGAGCTTCAAGTTAATTGTTATAACATTGTATACATTATACTGCGTCATGCCGCCTTCTCATCTGAAGGGGAGAATATATAGAAATAAATAATATTTTATGGTTGCACGACAAGTATTATTCTTTATGCAATGATCAAGGTGCATCAAAATTCTAAAATTTGTAGCTTTAAGAGATGCAGTTCGTTCAGAGAATGTACAATGGATGTTTCTTACACTTGGTAATGCAGAGTCGATCGTGCGCAGAATAGTTAATCCTTAGTGAATATCCGTCAGACTGAATATATGATGTCGCCCAGCGAGTGACTCATGAATTGCATCATTAATTTAGAAGTAATTCAGTCTTCTACACTCTGTAACCAGTTTCAGCTCTATATGAAGTCAGGGCAATCCCCTCGATCTATATACGAAATTCACTCGTCCCAGCTCGTGTAGCTGATGATGTTTATAGCAATCAATACCAAAATACGTCTCTGTTCAGGGCTTCGCTTATAAGTACGCAACGGGTCTCTGGACGGGCTCAGAAGTATTTCAGTTTCACAGTCGTTCGGACAAAGTCGTGGCACTCGCACAAAAATGGAAATTTCCCATATATTCGGTGGGTAATCATAAGCTATAACAAAAAAATAGAACGTAACTCATGAATTCCGGTTGCAGTTTTCTGTTTGCTGATCGCTGTTGTAGCAGCCCGTCCGCAGTTTCCGCTTTGGAATGAGGATCTGACACAGACTTTCATTCGTGGTCAGCCGGTTACATCGCCTAGGCCATCGACTACGGCTCAACCAACAACTGCATCGCCTCGCATGCTGGCCTGCATCCAAACCTGCCCAGCGACCAGTGAATACAATCCCATCTGTGGCAGTGACGGTGTTAACTACTACAACGAGGGACGACTCAACTGTGCCATTCGATGTGGTCAAAGTGAGTTGTCTTTGTCTTAAACATTCGCTTAAATTCTCTTTGACACATTTTTAACTCACTTTCAACTCTTATTCAACTCTTTTTCATAGATGTTCGCTCTGTACACTTGGGCGTCTGCAGCACTACGTAGAGCATTGCTTAGGGGATTTGTAATATCTGAACTGAAAATATCCGCTATACAATCTATAGTTCAATGCTTTACCAATGACCTTAGATTTGTATTAATAAAAACAAGCGATTAAGAGTGAGGAGAGTATACTGGATCAGTTGCTACCTTGTATCACGAAAATAAATACAAAAGTGAAGCAAGAATGTTACTCATTTAGTTAATAAGATCTTATAATAATGCATAACTAATTATTATTAATAAAGTGTAGGAAAAACTATTAAATGCAAGTTAATTTCTATTGCTATATGGTATCAAGAATATGATTTGGTATATATGTGTATATTTATATAAACTCGGAAAAATTACAATCTTTCTAGAATCTCAAGATTTTATATTTGGTTTTGATTGATATTGACACAAGTTAAGATATTAAAGAACAGCTTTACTTATAAAATACACTACATAATTTTTTTTTATATAAATATTATTTGTATAACATTTAATAATAATATATATGAATATGTTAAATATATTTTTATTTTAATTAACATATCCAGACTAAAATCCTATTGAGTAAATCAATCGAGTCATACTTATAACATAAGTTAAAACCGAATATTTATCGTAACAAAAACAGTCAATAAATTTGCCAAGTTCATATTCGCGCTGAATATACCCCTCGACACAACTTACCGGTTACAGGGTATAACACACACACAGATTAATAAGCTGAGATTTCAATGTTCACTCGCGCTATTTTAGCGACTTGACTAATGTGTAGAAAATAAATTCTGAGCAGTCGCAGCCGAAACGCTTGCCTGTTTGTTGCCATTGAGCGGAGCAACAAAGTGAGAGATCAACAAAAAATAAAAAGAGAAAATAATAATAATAAAAAAAACAAACAAAATGCTGCGACTAGGTCTATTTCACATAAGCCGTAAGTGTAAATATTCTCACAGTTTCAAATGTATTCACATCGAAGTCTTTGCAGTTGTTTTGCTGCTGGGCTACCAGACCCTCGCCATTGACTATTCCAATCCCAAGTCACAAGTGGAATATATAAATGTACACCCAGGCGATAAGCCGAATATTGTGCCGATCACACGACCTCCATTGCTGAACCAAACGCCACCGCCGCCGCCGGGCGATTCCAAGAATTTTGCTTATAATCCAAAAACACAGACCTGGACAAAGATTTCACCTCACGATCCACAGCCGGATGAAGGGACTTTGATCTGGAATCAGAGCAACGATAAATGGCTAACCAACGGGCCGGGCTCTTAAAGATGTTAACTTGAAGCAATTCTCTTGGCTGTTGTTTATCAGAATACATAAAGCATTATATTCACCAGCTCACAAGCTAATTTCGTAGGCACTTTTATATACATTATTCGCACGATATTTGTTTGTAGAATTTTAGAGCACACATTTCTAAATATCAATAAACTGATATACTATATACTCAAATTAGAAGAGTTCTGCAATCAGCTATGGATACAGAAAAGTGATTAGGTATAGGTTATTCGAGTTTTGCATTGGTTGCTTAAATTTCTTATCTTGAGACAGAAACTTTATAAAAAAAAAAAAATTATTTTAGCTGCATTATATGCTATATATTCATATCTAAATTAGATTCGTAAATTAATCTAGTGAGTGCAATTCATTGTTGCTGTTGCTTGATTCACATTCACATTTTATCTAATCTTGAGTATTTTCATTCAGAGGCGACTCATACTTTCTTAGAATTTAAAATCATAAATTAAAAAATAAGGGCTTAACATAAAATAATTTAAATGGAAGATATTTTTATTATTATTATTGATTTTTTCAAAATTGTAAAAATGAGTAATATGTATATATAAAATTTTTATACATTCAGTAAACGAAAGCCTAATGTAATATATAATGAATATTTGTTTTCTAATATATCAATTTATTATTAAATGAGAATCAAATAAGTTGTTATATCTTATTTTTCTAGTTTCTTTGATAGGCACACATTTGCGAGAACTAGAAAAACGGGTTTCTAAGCGTAGCTAAAAAATATGGTCTAAACAAAAACAAAATTCATTCACAAAATCATAAAAGAAATTAAAAAAAAAATGTTATTCATATATAAACAAGAATTTGTACCGTGGGGCTTGTTATATTTTTACTTCGTGAGCCTCATGAAATCAATTAAGATTTATATCATAACTGCTCATTCTTACATTTGAGCTTGTGCTGGTAATTAAACACAATTTGTTCATATAATAAACAAACAAATTTGATTCATTTGACTGCAACTACTCTCTCCGAGTATATAAATTTGAAAGGTTTAAAATTTTCTTGCACTTTGCAACTGAAAAAACTGGGTATAACGAGGCTTGGCCTATCCCAAGGCTACAGCTATGGAAGTGGAGGCCTATCGACCTCCAATAGAAAAAAGTTATAATGCAATGCGATAGTCTTATCATTCATGTTTAATCAGTTAATTCAGTCGCATATATAAGCTCAAGTGGACATTTGCTACGGTTTCAGTCACATAAGTTAGTTCGAGGAAAATCGTCGAATATAAGACAAGTGTAGCAATTTATCATATATGGATCAATATTGAATATCTGCTTATCTGAAATATAGACTCTGAACTTTTATCACTCTTTTGTACGAAAAACTCATTGATAATTTCATTCCTGCTTAATAAATTACAAGTGATATTTGAATTTAACATGTGTGCGGATGTGAAATTGCAAGATATCGATTTTATGGAGGTAATGAAATAATATTTTAAAATAAACGAATAAATTGTGAGAGTTTGCTACTTTAAAGGAAATCGTGAAAGATTATGGCGCCGTAGTGAGAAAGGCAAAGTGGCATAAGAAAGAAATTGCCGTAAAAATATATCCCGATATTCTGATTGATTATAAATGGTTCAAGAGCAGATATGAGCAGCTATTGAATGTCGATCATGAGAATCTTCTCAAATTTTATGGCACAGTCGAGAAACCGGGCAAAGCAATGGTCCTAATGGAATTTGCGGAAGGTACATCGCTCTATACTCACATTCACTGGGCCGGAGTACCGAATTACGTACCAAGAGATGCAATCAATTGGATGCTGCAGTTTGCCAGGGTACCTATAGAAATGTAATAAATATATTAAACCTATATTCATATGCCCATTTCACAGGGTGTTGGATTTCTACATGCTTTGAAGCCAAAACCCATATACCACGGTAATTTAAAGCCGCAGAATTTGTTTTTGACGAATAACCTTCGCTGCCTGAAGATCGGAGAATTGGCCAGCGGAGCTGAAGAGAGTTGCAATGATTATGCACCGCCAGAGACTCGGAGAAAGAAACAAGCCTATCTGAATGAAACTCATCTCATACGTATGCAAACATACTTTCTAAATTCCATAGAGCACTACTACACCGAGCAGTATGATGTATATAGCTTCGGCGTGGTGCTCTGGGAAGTGTTGTTCTATATGTCAACTCTGGACACTGATATGCCCGGTTTCAGCGAGTTAAACTCTTTGATTGCCCGATGTCGAGATGATAACAAGAACAAGCGACCCACTATGGAGGACGTGATCTTGAACCTCAACATAATTGCAAGGTATTTCATTTCAAAGTTAATAAGATAAAGTTAAGATAAAGGAAGAGTATATTGGTTTTCAGAGCTTAAATATGATATACATACTTATATATAAATAAATTTATAAAATGATCTGTTATTGTGAATTGTTAAATATTTACCCGCTTTCTTCTGTTTGCTATATTTATTTTCTGAAAACCAATATAGCCCGAATTCACATTCGTAATGGGTATGAAAAGCATTAAAGATAACAATATGTATGGCTATATATAGAGCAAACAAAGAGAGCAGCAAATATTGAATAAAGTTAAAGAGTTTGTGCTATGGGAGGTAAATTGGATATGAATTGTAATATTTTTAGAGTTTTCAAAGAGTTATTACAACTTTCTTATTTTCAGACTGCATTATGATATGGATTTTGATTTGGAAACGACAACCGCAAATGTCTCTGAGATGCAATTGGGTGAGGTAAGCCACTGTCAGACAGTCAATTTCTCTGAGAATTTAATCAAATTATATGTATTGTGTAGGTAATGGGACAAGGCTCCTTCGGTGTTGTCGTGCGAGCCAATTTATTTGATATTGAATTGGCGGTGAAAAAAATTCAGAAGGGCGCCGAGAATGGCAAATGGATTGAGAGAGAAGTGCGGCAGCTATTCCGAGCTAACCATGAGAATATTATTAAATTCTTCGGCTCTACAGAAGATGTTGATGGCAATACATTGATTCTCATGGAATATGCCGACTGTGGCTCACTTAATAACTATTTGCATTGTAATGGCGATAAGAAGCATAAGTATACGCACAAAACTGTGCTCGATTGGATGCAACAGCTGGCCAAGGTGGGTGCATTGTATATTGATTATATAAATAGTTTATTTATATATATTTCTTTTGTTTTTTTGTAGGGCGTTGCATACCTGCACGACATGACACCAAAGCCTGTCATTCATCGCGATCTGAAGCCGCACAATTTGTTGCTCGTTAATGCATTTCGCACCTTGAAGATAGCCGACTTCGGGACGGTTCGGGATCAGGCCACTTTGATGACGAATTGCATAGGAACTCCCGCATATATGGCGCCCGAGGTTTGTTGCATCTAAAATTACTGTAAATATATTCATTCAAATTTGAACATTCATATCAAGGTTGCGCTGGGCCAATGGTATACAGACAAGAGTGATGTTTATAGCTTTGGCATTGTGCTTTGGGAGGTGTTGTCACGCAAGAAGCCCTTCTATCACCTGGAACAAATGAATTCACTGGCCATCATCCATTTGGCCGTTAGTGGTAAGTACTTGTCAAACATTGAAATTGAAATATGTTTGATCATATTTATTACATGCAGGTGAGCGTCCTCCACTGCAGGATATTCGTAATATAAAATATTGCGAGCACTATAAGTCTTTGATTGAAAGTTGCTGGATTCACGACCAAACTCAACGATTGTCTATGAAAGACATAATTGGTTTACTCAATTAGTAAGAAATACTTGTATAATATTTCATTTGCATTAAAATATTATAAAGTTGTGTTTAATATTCTTCTGTCAATAAAAAAGTAGCAATCAAAATTGACTGAACTCAGTCTCCTCTATTGCAGAGTGTAATCCTCAAGTTGGATATAAATATTCCTGTATTAAATTATTAAACTATTTCATTTGTATACTTTCAACTCAATGAAAATGGGAAATCAAGGAATAATGGGTTTATTTCAAATGCTGTTCTCGCAGCACAGCCCAAGGATCATAAGAACCAGATCAGGAACCTCAAGAACCACTGACCCAACTTTCATATATAAATCTCTTGAAAAAATATGCATTTATTTTTGTTTTTAATTTACATATATAAATATATAATATTTAATGATATATCATACACGTAATTGTCTCAACGATGATGATGGCGCAATGTCTCAGTTGTTGTTGTTGAAGAGGACGCCGATTGTTGCTGCTGCTGCCTCATGCGGCACAGCTCGTTGGCGCTGTAGTTGAGCTTGCGCAGTGCATTCTCTGAGAACTTTTCAAACTTGGCTGTGAGTTGGGCTAACTGCTCTTTGATCAACTGCAGCTCTATGCGCCACTCGTCGGCCTGTTGGCACTTCAGTTCGTGCTCCTTGCGCAGCTGCTGCGGCACATTTGTGGCAGAGCGCGGACGCAAGAGTTCGTTCATTTGAAAGTATTGTGTTTGCATGGGCACTTGGGGGGACTCCAGTTGTTGGGCGCGCTGCGGGGGGGCCTTCGACTCGCCACAGTTGACGTTCTGCTGTCGCTGGCGCAGACTGTGACTGAACATGTGATAGTTCTTCTCGAACTGTCGCCTGCGCATGCTCATGTTGCGATCACGCCGCTCCGCAACCAGCTTATAGACGTTCAGCTTGATGTCCTCGGGCAGCTGGGAGCGATCGCGCGGATCGTTGGGACGCACCGTGAACTGGAGCCGGTCGCGCGAAGTGCGCAGCAGAGCTTTGCGCCTGCAGTACTCCACGAGGGGTGCATTGCGCAGCAGCCTGGAGAAGAACAGGCTCTCCAGACGGGATATCAGCTCCGCCTGACGCACCAGCCGATCCAGCGTGGCGGACACTTGCAGACCCTGTATGTCGCTAACGGCCAGGCCCAGCATCAGATTGGTCAATATCACTGTTACCAGCAGCACAAAGGCCAAGAAGATGATGTGTGAAGTAACGGGAAACTTCACCGCATAATCGCCATAGAATATATCCTCAAACTCCAGCTCCCCGGACATCATGGTGAACGACTTAAGGAACGACCATGTTATATTCTCGAATGCCGGATAATCGTTGAAGAGCACCGCGAAACTCAAGCCAAACGCAATCAGCAAACAGATGTAGGCCATCAGGAATTTGCCAAAGTTAACAGCCACTGAGAGA